TGAGCATTTTAGTGGAAACCCAGCCAGACACAAAGAAAGTTTGTGACCCTGAGTCACCAAGTGACTAAAAAATCCATTTCCTGGCCAATTCAGGAGGTGTGAACAATCACACCATAATGAGGATCATTACAAAATCATTACAATCCACTTGGCCCAATTCTGTGTTTGCCTTGTCCACTAAGGACACCCTTGAAATATTATAGAACTGAACTGGTCCACTCGACTGGTGCAGTAAATCCAGATATCTACATCAAGCATTTTTTATAGCTATAGAAAGGAAGGCATTTATTTATAGGGTGCCAAGGAAGGAGGACCAGGCAGTCATTCTTTAAATCCTTACCTCCCAATGGCTTATAAGCAAGGGTTTTTAAAGGCAGGAGTAAATTTTAGAAGAGAAGTTACGGGCAAAATTATAAATTAATATATGGAGGTTACACATTATTTCAATTGAAAAAGAATTTCTTGAAGGGGATTACAGACCATAGGTACATTTAAATATTTTCTATTTGTAATTGATTAAGGAAGAGAAGCTTTGTTTAAAAATTTGGGGTCAATAAAGAAAAATGTTAACTGGCTCAGGGGTATTATTCCTCCAACTCATTTAGGAAGAAATTTAGAACAAAGAACGCAGGGTCAGAGTTTAGTACTTAATTTTTTCTCATCTGAAATTTATGTGTCAGTGAATCTGTTGGGTGAGGGTCTTCAGTGGAGGGTCCAAGTTTCTGAAAGACAACTCAGGGACATATGTTAAGAAGTTGTCTTTAGTTTTTATAGGGAAACCAAACACCTCTGGATTCTAACTTTTTTGGCTATTGTTTTAGGCTATTACTGCTTTTTTAATAAATTACTTATTTACTTTTTAGGACTAGGTACGCAAAAGAAAAAAGACAAGATGGCACCTTTTCCATGGTGGATTTAAGAAAAAGGACTAGCTGGAATTTTTCTTAAAGAAACTTGCGATTAAAGAAAAAATTATGTTCTTGTTTGGGCACAGGCCCCTAAGAAGAGGATCCCTGCTCTGGCTCAGAAGTAAAAGCATCCTTATGAAATCTGAGCGTGGTCGGGGACAGTGGCTTACACCTGCAACTCCAATGTTTTGGCAGTCAAGGCTGAAGGACTGCTTGAGCCTAGGAGTTCAAGGTTGCAGTGATCTATGATGACACCACCGTACTGAAGCCTGGGTGACAGAGCAAGACCCTGTCTCTAAAAAAGAAAAAAAAAAACTGTGTTTATTTTGGTATCTGAGCAATCCAGTAAAATCTCAGGGACAAAATTAAAGTTTTAATAAAAACTGTACTGTTAAGGGGAAAAAAATAACAATCAGGCTTATTTTACATTACTCTTATGCTTTTAAAAAGCCAAAACAAATTCCAAGAGGGTCTGCTCTTGGAATTTAAATTCTAACATTTTAAATCAGAGTGCCTGAATCTGATTTTAAGGCCCATGAGAGATTGTGCTACTAATCTGCAAGACAGAGGAAAGATTTCCTTTCAACATTCAAAAAGCAGTCACATCCTAACATTTTTGTGCCCTACTAAAACATGAATTTGTCATGGAATTAAATTCTAGAAAAAACTAATCTTAGGCTGAGTGTGGTGGCTCACATCAGTAATCCCAGCACTCTGGGAGGCCGGGGTGGGTAAATCACCTGAGGTCAGGAGTTTGAGGCCATCCTGGCCAGCATGGTGAAACCTCGTCTCTATATAAAAATTACAAAAATTAGCTGGGCATGGTGGCAGGTGCCTGTAATCCCAGCTACTTGGGAGGCTGAGGCAGGAGAATCACTTGAACCCGGGAGGTGGAGGTTGCAGTGAGCTGAGACTGTGCCATTGCACTCCAGCCTGGGTGAGAAGAGCGAAACTCTTGTCTCAAAAAAAAAGAAAAAAAGAAAAAAGAAAAACCTAATCCTAGTATTACTCATTTCATATTTAGAACACAATTTTTTCTCTACTATAACAACATTTAGTTCCTGTACAAGTGTGTTTATGGACTCAGAGTTAGGCAGTCTGCCAGAAATTCATGCATTATTGACCTTCAAGTGGTTTAACAGAGCTGCTCTACCTCAGCTAATTACCCAGACACATGAAATCTGAGACCATCTTTTTGGTTGCCTGTATTGAATCACACTGTGGGAAAGGTATCCTCTATGTGCATTAGAGATGACAACAGAGCGCATATAAAACAGCCTGCAGATACACTCAAGTTTAATAAAAAAAGCATGTTTTGTTCAAAGTAATCCAAGAAGCTTCCTTGATTTTAAACAGCTCTTTTATCTGGTACAGAATTTCTACCAAATGTTTTTAACATTAAAATTAATTCTGAACTTTAAAAAATGGAAGCATTTTGTAACAACATGCCCCTCATCAGAGATAAGATGCTGTGCAAAACTCTGATGGCTTTAAACAATTAGATCTATTGTGTTACAACTTCAAATAGGTTCAGAAAATCAAATGAAATGGAAACAAAAAGAAGAAAGTTTCCAGGCCAGCAAAACCAAGCCCCTCTCCATTTTCCCCTTTTATTTTAGTAAAGTAAAACAATGCAAACACTTTCCTCCACATTTAGAAACAAAAGAGTACCAAGACAGAAGCTGGCTGCAGATCTAAGGGTAATCGGGTTATCTGCCATGGAAGCTGGAATTCTTTCTCAAGCATGGTGATGTTTATTTTTAACTCCTAGACAAACGGCTCCCTTCTGGGAAATGCCCTCTGCTGGAAAGCTAAAGGCTTCTCTTGGAAGGATGAGCTGTTCAACAGCAGGAGTCCTTAGTAATGTCTTCTTTACCTATCACACTTCAGCCTGTCAAAATTTAGTAAATTATCGGCCTCCTTTTCAGGTGACATATTCACTAATATTGACTATCAGTTGAGTCTCAGAGGGACTGGAACAATTTTAACAGATCCCACAATTTGGTTGCCAGATAGCACACTGATAACAGAGAAGACAGGGGCACCCGGGAGTGCCCTTTGAGCCTCTAGCTCCCTTCCCCCATGGCCACCGCCCTCACTGCGGATAGAGATACAAGGAGCCTTGGTCAGGAATGACCGACTGAAATCTGCTAAATGACTCAAAGCAGCTGGCTTTTGAAAAATATTAAAACAAATCCACACTCAGCCCCAAACCCTTAGGCTCTGAGATGCCTTTTCCTACCCTTTTCCTCTGCAAGGCTTCCACCCTGGATATGTTCATGACTTTACTCAGTCATGTTAGTTTTCAATGGCTGTCAAAATCAATTACAGCAAACTTAGTGGCTTAAAACAACAAAATTTATTATCTCACAGTCTATAGTTCAGAAGTTCTGGGTGTCAGAGCCAAAATTAAAGTGCTGGCCAGCCTAGGTTTCATCAGGAGACTCTAGGGGTAGAATGTTTTCACTCTCACTTAGGTTTTTGGTAGAATTCAATTCCTTATGGCTGTAGGACTGAGGATGGAGGTCACGGTCACTATTTCCTCGATGACTGTCAGATGGAAGCCTCTCTCAGGAACTTAAAGCCACCTGTATTTCCTGTCATGCTGTCCCCTTCATCTTCAAACACAGAATTAAATCTGCCCACACTTTCTCTGACGTGTGCTTCCGTTGCGTTGCTTCTGCTTCTTGCCAGAGAAAATTTATCTGCTTTTAAGAGTACCTATGATTAGACAAGGTCCACCCAGATAATCCAGAATAATCTCCCTAAGTTAAATGTCCATAACGTAATTACACCTGCAAAGTCCCTTTTGACACATAAGGTAACATATTCACAGCTTCCAGGTATTAGGATGTGGGCATCGTTGGTAGACCATTCTACTTAGCATGCCAGGTACAAGGGTTTGGGGCAAGGACTAGCTATACAAATAGCAAGAGAGACACAGGTTGTAAACTGCTATAGTCCCTATATGTCCCTAAAAATGGTCATGCAGGAGAACGCTTTCTTTGACCTCCAGGAAAACTGGGACAGATTATGATTCAATCATCTTCCCAAGGTTCTGGAGCCCACAACAGCAATGACAGTGACAAACAGGTCTAGCCAACGGTGATTAACAGAAAATACCACTGTACAAAACTGGGCTAAAAAGTTCGGCACTTAACAAGTTTGGGGAATTAAGAGAGAGAAAAATATAAAATAAATAAAAATTTAAAATTCCAACACCAAGATAGCTATTTGGATAAAAGATTAAAAAGGTTTCCTAGATTTTAAGGCCGGTTGCCTCACCAGGAGGTCAGACACACCCATCCCTGCACTCAGCACCTGACTCTGCACCTGGCACCAGGCTCGGCACTCAGCACCTAGCTTCGCCACATGGCTCCCTTGGAAGGCTCCAGCTAATGCAACCATGGCTGGCTCTTGCACTGGAAAACCTGCCCAACAACCCGCCAACCAATAGCGGCCCGCCCCATCCCAATCCCGCTCCCCTGGACCCAATCAGAGCACCCAGTTGTTGCTCGGTCCTCCTAGCCATAACCCCACCAGCCACCCAGGAAGTCAGTGAGACTTCTCTGGCCCCCTTTCCCTGGACCAGAGAACCTCGCCTGGGAGCTGAATAAATTGGCATTTAATTTTCTCATACTGGCCTCAGTTTCCTCATTTTAAACTCGGCAATAACCCTTACACTTTCTATTTTCAAACAAGTCCTATACTGGGGACCAAGCAATCTGATCAGGGTATCAGGGTTCTAATCCAAAGTCTGCTATGTGGCCCTGAGTAAGTCGCTCTCTTCTTTGGGTCTCAGTTCCCTTGCACTTAAAAGATCAGCAGTTCACAAAAAGTGTTCTGCAGAACATTCATTCCATGAAATGCTCTCTACAAGAAAAACGGTCCCCATGCCAAATGTCTGAGAAATGCTGTTTGGAGTCAGAGTGGTATTATTAAAGGCTCTGAAAACTTCTATAACAAACAACTACCTAGTTTATTTAACCCAATGTTCCCTGATCATATTTGACAGGGATATATTTGACTCCTTTGATCATATTTGACTCCTTTTTTCTAAGTACTGAACTACCCTTCGGTTAAGTACTGTACCTTCAGCTGTGACTTCCCTCCATTCAGGTTGGCCTCTCCCTGAATAGTCGGTACCTCCCCACATCCTGTCCCTTTGTCCCTGTCTCCTCCACCTACAGCACTCTTCCCCATACCTCAGTGTTTCAAAATCCTCCATGTCATTGAAGACTGACTCAAATGCTGAGTGACTCTATCACGATGAATAGTTCTCTGATCCCATTAGCTAGAAATATATTCTCCTTCTTCATATATACTGTTTAATAAACATTTAATTAGTGGCTACCATGGTTTAGCATTAGGCACTCACAGCACATTGATATTATAACAGCACAGTCCCTCAGTTATTCCTTATCCAGCATATATTTATCTACTATATACCAGTTACAAAGGTTACAACAGCAAACAGGACACAGCTCTTGCCCTCAATGGGCTTTGACTGTCATAGAAGGGCAGTAGTTGGAGGCAATCTTAACCTAACATGAGGCTGTAATTGGAAGGACTAGGGCTCAGTATTCCTGGGGCCCAAGCCTCAAAGCTATTCCCAGAAGTCTGGGGCTGCCTGGGCCAGGACCATCACGAGGAAGAAGAGCCAGACTGTTCCTTGTGGGGCCTTGGGCCACTAAGGCATCACAGGATAAACGTAGGAACTGTGGAATTGGTCAGGTAGGCCTGGGCTCACATTCTCTACTTCCACTTACTGTCAATGTGCCCTCTTTGAGTATTAATTAGTGACCTCAACTGTTCAAGATGAATAATAGTATCTGGCTCAGAGGTTACTGCAGGAAAACAATCTGAAAATAACTGGAATAAGATTTGACACACGTCAGTTCTTCTACTGATATTAGCACTTTTAAAATTTTCTTCCCAAATTAAGGATATTAACTTGATCAGCCCTTGTTCCATGTTATTACTAGGACTTCAAGTTTCTCCTGTAGGGCATCAGTTAGGCACATGGACAGATTTCTTAACTAATCCTAACTTCTTTCCACCCCCCCCTTTTTTTTTTTTTTTTTTTTGAGTTTTTTTTTTTTTGAGACAGAGTGTCGCTCTTGTTGCCCAGGCTGGAGTGCAATGGTGTGATCTCAGCTCACCACCACCTCCGCTTCCCGGGTTCAAGTGATTCTCCTGCCTCAGCCTCCCAAATAGCTGGGATTACAGATGCCTACACCACACCCAGCTAATTTTGTGCTTTTAATAGAGCTGGATTTTCTCCCTGTTGGTCAGGCTGGTCTCGAATTCCTGACCTCAGGTGATCCGTCCACCTCGGCCTCCCAAAGTGCTGGGATTACAGGGGTGAGCCGCCATGCCTGGCAAATCCTGACTTTTCTTTTCCCAACTCTCATAGCTTATTTGACCAGGCAGCAGTCCCCATGACCTGCTCCTCACCTGGAAAGAAACAATATACACTGTCAAAACCTACTGCTAGCCCTACTTCATCTCTCAGAGGCATACCTCAGCAGCCTATCCTATTCAGTGATATTTTATTTTGACCCCTGGTGGCAGACAACACAAGTTGGCCCATTCAATACACATGCATAATCAAATTTTCCCTCACCTGCCCCTAGCGTGGAGGCAGGAAAGCATCCTGCTCAATTTCCCAGTCTCATAACTAGCAGACATATGACATAGGTGAGACCAATGAGACTTTTTTAAAAAAAATTTTTTGAGACAGAGTCTTACTCTGTTGCCCAGGCTGGAATGCAGTGGCATAAACTCAGCTCACTTTAACCTCTGCCTCCCCGGTTCAAGCTATTCTCCTGCTTCAACCTTCGGACTAGCTGGGATTCTAGGTGCCCATCACCATGCCCTGCTAATTTTTTGTATTTTTAGTAGAGACAGGGTTTCACCATGTTGGTTAAACTGGTCCCAAACTCCTGACCTCAGGGGATCCACCTGCCTCAGCCTCCCAGAGTGCTGGGACTACAGGCGTGACCCACCGTGCCTGGCCCAATTAGACTTTATTTTTTTGAGATGGAGTCTTGCTCTATCGCCCAGGCTGGAGTACAGTGGTACAATCTGGGCTCACTGCAACCTTTGTCTCCTGGGTTTAAGCGATTCTCCTACCTCAGCCTGCCAAGCAGCTGGGATTATAGGCACCTGCCACCATGCCTGGGTAATTTCTGTATTTTTAGTAGAGATGGTGGTTTCACTATGTTGGCCAGGCTGGTCTCGAACTCCTGGCCTCGTGACCTGCCCACCTCAGCCTCCTGAAGTGCTGGGATTATAGGCATGAGCCACCGGGCGCCTGGCCCCCAGTGAAACTTTTTTAAAGGCTCTTCATCTATGATTATTTCTTCCTGCTTGGATCTTGCAGAGGATGCAGCCATCTTGTGACCGTGAGGTGACAAGCATGTTGTCAAAAGGTCATCTACTAGGAAGATGAGGCAGAAATCAAGAGCCCAGATCTCAGACAGCCTTGCTGAGCCAAGCTCACCCCAAGCTGCCTACTTCTAAGCTTCTTGTTGCGTGAGACAAATCTATCCTTCATTTGTTCAAGTCATTTTTAGAAGACTTTCCACAAACTGCAACAAAATACCTCTCTAACCAAAATACCTAGCTAAGGACATTAGACATTATTCCTTCTTCTTTTTTTCTGCTGTGAGCAAAACATTTGTCTTGCTAAGGACTTGATTAAATCTTCACACTAAATACTTATTTTCAGGACAGTAACTGCCATGAGCTGGCCACATGATAGATATTTACAGAAAAGGTGTCAGAATTGCTGCTGTTTACCTGCATCACATCAAGTCTGGGATGCAGAAGCTTTGAGATGAGATGCAGAAGCTTCAACCAGGATTCCCAGTTTTTAATTCGTACTGAAAAGATAGTGATAGGCACTCTTTCTGGATAAGGAAGGATTTCCTTACAGCATGTAGAAATCACAGAGGGGAAGATAAGAACTGTCACAGCTGTTCAAAGAACGGGTTGCTCTCAAAATGGGTATCTACATTACAGCCCTGAGAAAGGGATACCTTTCAATCGCTTCTGATAGGAAGTCTTGTGAAATGGAGACAATAAGCCCATATCACTGTTAACATCAATATAGGATTAGCTCAGAACTTAAAGGGGCAAATAATGACTCACATCATGTATATTTCAGAAGTAGGCAATCCCTTCCATTTGCCGAAGAAAGTTGTCATAGGTCCCCAAAGAACCTGGATCCACCCAGGTCCAGTTTGTGGCAGGGTCTGCCTGCAGGTGACAAAGCCCAGCAGAGGCCTCCCACTCCAAGAGGCCCAGGCTTTGTGGTGACAGGAGCTGGGATAGGGGCTCCACTTTGCATCATGAGATAAACCATGTGTAGTGCTACCATTTAGCCCAGACTATACATATATACATACTCTTTACCAAAAGCATCACAGAAACTGCAGCCTTGCCTGCTTCTCTCCTACTGATGGAGGGTGGGGCTCAGGTAGCCCAGAATAATAAACAGGGCCTGGGCCAGAATCCAGGGAGGACTGTCTACAGCCTCCGGTCCTTCCCTGACCCCCTTGGCCAGTCTGCCCCATCGCCCACACTGTCTCCCAACCTCTGAACTGCCCGTGCCCCAATCTGGAAAGCAGCACTGAGTTTCTGCATCAATGGTCTCTTTCAGGTCTCCCAGACTGTCTGCCATGCTCCAACTGCTTTCAAGTTGATTACAGACTCTGTGGCCTCTGAAATGTTACCTTTTAAAAGATAAAAGCTACTTCAGGGGTACAATTCATATAAATGTAATTTTACTAAGAAGCATTTCTAGGCTGTTAGAAATTTTAAAGACACAAACTGTTCATCTTTAAGACTGTGAAATCTCTTTTTTTCAGCACAGAAGGAAGGTTTCAGGTTACATCTGGCTGGAAGTGACCACTCCTCAGCAGGACTGCAATATATGTTCACAAGGCCATTGCCTTAGAAACCAAATGTAAAGTTCACAATCCCTGAGAAATCTTAACTGAGGCTATAGGTCAGCGGCTCTGATTTCTACACGGGAAGATCACCCGATTTGTGCTTCTAGGAGCCGGCCACCTTCTTCACACTAAGCTATCCATTACTGCACCGTTGACCCATGACATCCTGGAGGTTTTCTCAGAGTGTGTGACCAGGCAAAGCAAGCAAGGTCCATCTGCACAGGCTGTTTGGCCTCTCCTGGGGCCTTGCACACCGACAACAACTTCCTAACCCTATTCTAGACAACCACTCATACTGTTTCTCGAGTTTCAGTCTAGAAAAGGAGCTCCAATATCTCTTTTAGATACACTTGCTTCCCATCTTATTGCTTTTCTAGCCCCTTCTTCTTCCTTTTTAGGCACATAAGACTGACATTCTCCATTTATTCATGAAACATCCACTCTCCCAAGTGCCTCACAGCCAGTTCTCCTGCTCCTACCACGCAGGCTTTCTCACCTGCAGCTCCCTTCACTAACCCTCGTGCCCAGGGTGCCTCCTCCCCTTTCCACTGCCACCTCAGGCTCCAGCCTGGCAATCCAGTGCTCAGTGCCTCAGCTCTAACTTAAGGGGCAAAGCCAATTCTCATGAGCCTGGAGCAGCAGGGACTTCTGGGTCACCACTCCACACCCATTCTGCTTCTAATGTGGCCCAAAGAGGCAGTCAGTAGCAAGAGAAGCAGAATCTTTGTCTTTTAAGGTTTGAGTTCAGGATAAATGTCACCGCAAACTTGGGATCCTCAGCTATTTTACAACCGTATAGTGAGAGACTCCAGAAAGATTTACCTAACTCTGAGAATTTGTTTACATTTCAAGGGGAAATGAGGCCCAGGACCTTGGAGACATGCCTAGGTCATAAAAATTGGAGCCACCAGAGCTGACGTGGCTCCTGGAAACATGTATTTATATTCCAGAAGGTTAGAAGGAGAACCCAGGATCCTTCCCATTCTGTCTCCAGGCAGCAAAGATGCTTCCTCCCTCCATTTAGGAGAAGAGGGAAGCAGTTGCCTCTTTCTCCTTCACATAAACCAAGAAATTCCATTTTTCTCTGTCCCTCACCTATGGAGTGTCTGACCACTAGGGCTGGGGATTTTTCCATCTGGCCTTCATCATGCCACCCTGGGGCAGGGAGTGCCTATGCAGTTATAATTTTTTTTAAAATTTTAATTATTATTATTATTTTTGAGACAGAGTCTCGCTCCGTCGCCAGGCTGGAGTGCAGTAGCGCAATCTTGGCTCACTGCAACCTCCGCCTCCTGGGTTCAAGCAATTCTCCTGCCTCAACCTCCTGAGTAGCTGGGACTACAGGCACACGCCACCACACCCAGCTAATTTTTGTATTTTTTCAGTAGAGACGAGGTTTCACCATGTTGGCCAGGATGGTCTCAATCTCTTGACCTTGTGATCCGCCCACCTCAGCCTCCCAAAGTGCTAAGATTACAGGCATGAGCCACCGTGCCTGGCCTGCAGTTATAATTATTTACATAATATTATTTTCTCTTACTCTGTAAATAACAAATGCCTCTGACGCAGAAGACGTCATGTGTGCATCCAAACTAAGATTAATAAAGATGACTATTAAAAGCCCAACAGTTATGGCAGCAAGGATGATAAGGTCCTATTTGTCACCTGGTTTACTGGAAGAGACAGACAAGAGGCCTGTAGCTGGTTAGGAGGATTGGAGCAGTATCCACAAGAACCAGCACAGACCTACTGCAAGGACTGGGAAGTGTGTTAGCCAAGGATCAGGAGACAGGCTTGGAAAATGCTGCCAGAACGGCACCTTTGGATTTTGCTGTCCTCTCCAGGTGGGAGGAGAAGGGATCTGGAAATTCTTAGAGATGGGCTTTACCTGGGATGAGAGAAGTTACTGTCACTGTCTCCTTGCAGTGAGAGGGAGAGGGTTCTTGAGCTCCCACAGCCAGAGCGGGTCTATGAGGGCTGCAGGGCCATGTTGTGGCAAGAAGGGTGTCTGGCTTACTGTACACTTACTATCTTGGAGACACTTTTTTGTTCCCTTCTGATCCTTAGTTCCCTTCCTAGCCCAGCTGATCTTC